TATATTTGCATATATATATATACATATATATTTATTTTCAGTATTAGAAAAGCAAAATTAGAATGTTGCTAATTCATCTCTTTTCATGCCTCTGTCTTGTCTTGTCTTGTCCTAACCATTAAAATAAAAAAAGAAAGCAAAAAAGAAGTGAAAACTAAAATCTAAATCCAACCATTCTCTCTTCTCTAATGGCCTTACTCAACCCCTTTTTTCTTATCCTACTGCACAAATTTCACTTTTTTCCCTTGTGTTCCTTTGTCCAGAGCTCACCTCTTTCCCGCATAACCACATTGTTTGCCTTGTTCGCCCGCGAGTAGGCCATCAGTGGGAAGAACGTCTTGCTACTAGTTTCTCTTAATTTCGACGGCTTCTGTAAACTTACCTCTCTCTTGCTCAAGTCTTGATCACTTCCTGCTCCACTTGTCTTCCTTAATTGAAACCCTAGCCGTACCTATCTACTTGTGCCTACCCTTTGCCACTGCTCGCAACTTCTTCCTTCTAGTCGTTTAAATTCATATGATTGATCCCACATTCTCTGTCTCGACTCCTCATTGGTAACTTGCACGCACAACTCCAACCATCACATGACTTACACTTTTGTTTGTCACTCCTCTCTTCTTTTGGTTACACAACACCATGCCGACGACCTCAACCTTTTTGGTGACAAAATCGTCAACACCATGCCGACGACATCAACCTTTTTGCTGACAAAATCGTCAAGTTCTTTTGCATCCTAACTTTATACTAACTTCCTTAACTAACTTGCCTAATGCCTCTTTTAACCCTAATTGGCGGCAATCATGTTGTCCATCTTAAAGGTGTATTTTGGGTGGCTGCTATTTTTTGAAGAAACAGTTGTGAAGTTGCTGTTAGAAAAAGTTGCTGCTAGAATAACGGTGAGACTGTTCGGATAATTTGCTGTGATAATTTGCAACTGTTCTAATGAAAAAGACAATTATATCCTTATAGTTATAAATTAATAGAATGACCACAATTTTCAAAATAATTGTAGGAGAATAGTAAAAATAGCTTCAAGAATATAAAAAATATGCCAGGAGTCGAAATTTCTTTAGTGTATCAATTATAAGTCATCATTTAATGAATAAAATTAAAAATAAATAGTAATGTTATAATGACACTTTCATGTCCAGACAATCAAGTCTTCAGGATAATTTTCTATCCATATCATGTCTCTTGACTTGTATACTATTTGGAGCAAACTCCTTTATGTAATTATCCCATTGAAAAAACTTGCAATCTTCAAGTGTCATATTTCTGGTATAACAATAAAATTTTCTCTTATAGCTCCCTTCCCTTCTTGATATGTATTCAAAAAACTGCGTGCCACAATGATAGTACAAAAGTCTTGTAGTACCTGATGAACCGAAACTTATTTTTTTGAGATTATGATTATTACGCTTTTTATTGACAAATTAAAATACATATGCAATAGAACAATAACAAAAAAAAATAGGGTTCATAATCAGAAAAATACCAGATATAAAGAAAAATATGATCTCTAACGTTATAACTTTAACAATTACAATACAAAATATGGAAGAGAAAATATGCATCAATCAATCCTTAATTCATTTGAAACAGTAAACATCAAAATGAAGACATTAGAGAATATTAATTAGATGTACTCGATGAATTCACCAATACATCTCTAATGTCCTCTCAACTGTATCATCTTTTGAACACTCTTCACTTCGGGTGTGTTGAAGTCATTCGCACAAAATTTTCTCTTGAGCATTGATTGACCCGCTTAATGTTCGAATGCTTCTACATGTTGTCGGTTAACTTTTTTTTTATTTTGAAAATTATTTTTAAATTTAAATTAATAAAAGAGGTATATAGTTTGGGTGTTGAAAGTAGTATGTTTTATTTTTTTAAAAATGAGACCAAATGGACTCATTAGTTTAATAGTTTGCATAATCGTGTCCAATACCGTGAATACTACACATTCCCGAAAGATAAGGGTAAACTTCGATGTGGACCCAATCTTACAAACTAAGAAATTTTTGACATCCGTTTGACTTGTAAACCATTTATGTGTGATGAACATGTTTCCATGCCTAATATAAAGATTAAGTAGGGTTTATTTTACCTGGGTTCCAAGTTCTCTATAAAAGCAGACCCCTATAGTTAATTACATTCTAAATAACGAGGGTCACTTGAGAAAACTCTCAATGATGATCAGAGGTACTAGTCTTTAAGAATTTAAAATTTAGGTTTTCACGGTAGGACGTGGAAAAATAAGTGAGAATAACTCAAATAGGAACAATTATTTTCAGGAGTCTAAAAGACGAAAAAGATAGGGGTGTCATAGATCATGAGGAGAAACCTCAGTGACTTCTCAAACTATCTTAATGTGTAACTAAAATGTGTAACTAAGTTTTGGAGACTAATGTGTAACTAAGTTTTGGAGACGATGTTATTTAGGTGTTTAATTCTGCTAATTCTTATATTTGCATAATATATTTGCATAATATCCGATTATGCAAATATCCCGCAGAGATAAAAATGTTTACGTCGTACCACACGACAATCTCAGAATCTAATGCGAGTTAGGACTTATGTTGCACAACATGGTTACACAGGAGTCTAAAGAGAGTATGAGGATTTACGTCGCAGTGGGTGAGTTACCTCGAAACTATATAGGTTATTGTTTAAACTAGGGAGAGATTGCTAAATAAGATTCTCTTGTTACTCGATCTAAGCTCATTGCCGTGCTGTCCACAAGTTTAGCTCCAAGCTCCTTATTGAAGTAACAGTCATAAGGTCTAAGATTCATAAGGTTTTACCAGGTGTGTTTCAAAGTATTGGTTTTGTTGTCATTCAAGCATTATTGGGGGGCTAAAGTTGATTAGAGTGACACAGGTTAGAATCTCATGGTTCCCTCATTCCGGTATCACTATTTTCTTTTGAATTTTTCTTAGTTTAAACGAGTTGTTAAGTAGGGGTGTAAACGAACCGAACACGAACGAACATAGCTCGTGTTCGTGTTATGTTCGTTTGAAATTATGTTTGTTTGAAATATGCTCGTGTTTGAAATTGTTCGTAAAGTTACAGTTTGTGTTCGGTTTGATTTGTTTAAAATGTTTGAAATATTCGAATTGTTTGAGTCATTCAAATTGTTCGAAACCTTACAAATCTGTTTGTATTGTTGGAATTGTTTAAATTGTTCAAAATCTTTCAAAAGCTTAAACTTATATAAAATTAATGTTTAAACATCTATGAATCACAACATAAATGTAAAATAGCCGAAGCACAACTCACAATAAAATCATAATATCATATGTCAAAAAATTCAGATCTAGAGGCAACATGCGAGATTTCACTCCCAAAATTATGTTTCACTTAAAGAAATTATATAAATCTAAAAGAAATATAAGAAAATTTAAACTAAGAGACGGACCTGAAGATAAATGTCAAATTATAGAATTTAATGTCTAAGAGACGAACCTGAAGATCAGATTATAATTTGTAGGATTTAATTTTTTAAAATATGATAAATTTTTATATATAAATATTTCAAATTAATTTATATTTCGAACAATAAGGATTCAAACACGATCGAACAAATGCTTGTTCGTGTTTGGTTCGTTTATAAACTGAATGAAAAAAAAATGTTTGTCTTCGTCTCGTTTGCTTATCAAACACGAATTCTCCAACGAACCGAACACGAACTGTTCGCGAACAAGGAGCTTTTTTGACAGCCTTATTGTTAAGCTCATTTAAACTGAAAAGATCTCGTTAGCAACCGTAGGCTACCTCATTCGAGGGACTCCCACAAAGTCAAAAGGACGTGTTATGTTTTTTTTTTGTTTTGTTATGAAAATATTGTTTTGTTTTGAAAATGTTGTTCAATTGTTGAAATATTGTTTTGTTTTGAAAATGAAATCACAACTATACATGCATGATACATTAAAGTAAGAGTAAATTACAGTGATAAAATGATCATAAATAAAATGTACATGCTCATAAATAAAATGTACATGCGAAATAAAATGTACATGCGTAACTGGGGCATCTGCTGCTACTATTCCCGCTTCGGGATTAGCTCATAAAACATAATATAATTTGCAAAGAATTTAAATAAATTTGCAGGAAAAGTGAGAAAACAGGAAATTTAGTGTAAAAAGCAATAAAAAGAGTCGTAACAATAGCTAAGAACTCCCAAAGGTAATAAAAAAGCTTTCTACGACTCCGGACAGCAA